TGATAATGGTTGCACAACTCTAAATATATAAAAACGTGTGAATTTTACCCTTTAAATGGTATAAATTTTATGTTATGTAAACTGTATATATACATGTTTAAGCTGTCAAAAAAATTTACCTATCCGGGCTCAGGGGCTCACACCTGTAATCCTAGCACTCTCAAAGGCCAAGGTGAATGGATTACCCTGAGCAAGAGTGAGACCCCATGCCTAAAAAATAGCTGGATGCTGTGGCAGACACCTGTAGTCCAAGCTACTTGGGAGGCTGAGGCAAGAGAATCACTTAAGCCCAAGAGTCTAAGGTTGCTAAGAGCTAAGATGCCCTGGCATTCTACCGAGGGTGACAAAATAAGACTCTGTCTCCAAAAAAAAAATTTTTTTTAATCTAATTTTTGCTGCAAGAATACAACCAAAGAAACACAAAGGAGCTGGAAGGAACCCAAGAGATAATCCAGGCCAGAGCTCCCATTATGCATATTACAGAAAAGTCTTGGCCCACAAGTACATCAGTGGTCAAAACTAGACTGGACTTCAGGTCTCCTCTCAACCACTGTTTTGTAATACACTACTGCTTCCATTCAGACAAAAGGCAATAGTTATAAATAAATCAACTGTAATCTAATTAGAGGCTATTTTCTGGAGCAAACAGTTGCAGAAAATAAGAGTAAAATCAATACGAATTTATATGACAGCATATTTCAGCTATTTCTCTATTTGACAGAAGCCTTATAACTGTATTTCACTGAAGGAACAGGAAGGCTGGTGATAATTAAAATTGTTGGAATTCAAGTAGGCGTGGTGGCTCACACGGATAAGGGTGGCCAAGGCGGGAAGATCTCTTGAGATCAGGAGTTCAAGACCAGCCTGAACAAGAGCAAAACTTGTCTCTACTAAAAATAGAAAATTAGGCTTGGTCCCTGTAGCTCAGCAGCGAGGGCACCGGCCACATACATTGGGGCTGTTGGGTTCAAACTCAACCCCAGGCCTGCCAAACAACGACAACTACAACAAGAACAAAAATAGGCAGATAGTGCAGCAGAAACCTGTAGTCTCAGCTACTTGGGAGGCAGAGGCAAGAGAATCACTTAAGCCCAGGAGTTTGAAGTTGCTGTGAGCTGTGATACGATGGCACCCTACCAACGGCAACATAGTGAAACTCTGTTTCAAAAACAAAAAATAAAAATAGGAAATTAACCGGGTGCTGTGGCGGGTACTGGTAATCTCAGCTACTCAGGAGGCTGAGATAAGAGGATCACTTGCATTCAAGAGTGTGAGGCTGCTGTGAGCAGTGATGCCACAGCATCACCCAGGGTAGAAAAAAAAATTGCTAGAATTCATTAACTTGGACAATGCTAGACTAGATGATTTTCAAACTTCCATCCTAACTAAGACTTACCATTCTAAAGGAAAGATAAATATCACAATTATACTACAGTTGTAACCTGTATTTCTTTTCAATACTGAGATATTCTCAGAGTCTGACATAGATCTATATTACAATAAATTTCTCCCCAAAAAGGACAAGGACAGCATGGGTTCAGGGTCTACATAAACTTGAGAAATTGTATTACTAATGGCTGAATATTTAAAACTCTAAAATTAAAATGTCTACACTGAGAATAGCAAATAGTTATCATTCACTCCTCTCATTTAACATATTAATTTAAAATTGCTCACCATAAAGAACACACTGGATGGATGTGTGCACTAATTATTTTAGCAATGCCTCTTGTCAAGAAATCCCAGATGACAATTCGGCCATCATTACAGCCAACTGCAAGCAGTGTGCCCCACCTATTAAAGGTGCAGGTGAGGGCCATACTGATACAATCCAAAGTTCCATCGGCCTCCTAAAAATTAAAACAAATACAAGAATACAAACAACCAGGCATCCAAATTACTTCCTGAAGTTTCTCTATCATTGATGCGTCTATTGAATTTAATTTGTAAGGTATACCACAATACTCCCTCCATGTCTTCTTATACCTATTAAGGTAAATAAAATGGGCTCAGCGCCAGTAGCTCAGTGAGTAGGGCGCCAGCCACATACACCAAAGGTGGAGGGTGAGAGCCAGCCCCAGCCTGCTAAACAACAATGACAACTGCAACCCCCCCCTAAAAGAAAATGCCCAGGCATTGTGGCAGGTGCCTGTGGTTCCAGCTACTTGGGAGGCTGAGGCAAGAGAATCACTTGAACCTAAGAGTTTAAGGTTGCTGTGACGCCATAGAACTCTATCGAGGGTAACATAATGAGACTCTGTCTCAAAAAAAAAAAAAAAAAAAAAAAGAAAAAGAAAATGATAGTTAAAATGAATATTTATAAAAGCCAATGATAGATTTTTGGAACAGTACCACTGTAACATTGCACAAACTATCTGGAGGGAAAAATTAGCTAAATATTAACAGAAATCATTAAAAGAGTCACATCTATTGGCCCAGTAATGGTAATTCAGAGAATTTATTCCAAGAAAAAGTATTTAAAACAAAAAACTCTGGGCTCAGTGGCTGTAACTCAGTGGCTAGGGAGCCAGCCACACTGGAACTGGCCAGTTTGAACCCAGCCTGGGCCTGCCAAACAACAATGATAACTACAACCAAAAAAAAAAAAAAAAGTTGGGCATTGTGGCAGGCGCCTGTAGTCCTAGTTACTTGGGAGGCTGAGGCAAGAGAACTGTTTAAGTCCAAGAGTTAGAGGTTGTGAGCTGTGTCGCCACAGAACTCTACCGAGGGTGACATACTGAGACTCTGTCTCAAAAAATAAATAAATAATTAAAGGCTTGGCACCTGTAGCTCAGCAGCCAGGGCGCCAGCCACATACATCAAAGCTGACAGGTTCGAATCCAGCCCGGGCCTGCCAAAGAACAATGACAGCTACAACCAAAAAAAATTGCCAGGCATTGTAGGAGGCACCTGTCATCCCAGCTACTTGGGAGGTTGAGGCAAAAGAATCGCTTAAGACCAAGAGTTTGAGGTTGCTGTGAGCTGTGATGCCACAGCACTCTAGCAAGGGAGACATAGTGAGACTCTGTCTCAAAGAAAAAAAAACCTGGAAAAGCCTGTATGTGTAGCATTAGGGAAATCCTAAGAATTGTCAAGAAATCCCAGATGACGATTCGGCCATCATTACAGCCAACTGCAAGCCACAGTGACTATCGTGAAATACATTCAAGTGTTATGAATTATCTTTAACCTTAAGAAAGTGGAATACAGGTATGCCATACATATTATTATAAAAACATGATCAAAACTAGAGAAGTACATGGGGAAAAAACATGTTCAAGTGATGATGCTGTGAAAAAGCCTTCAATTAAAGTTCTGTTTTCCTCTAATCAAAATTATACTTAGGTCCTTACCAGGACAAAAGATATATTATCACATTAATGCTTCTTTTCCAAAAGCATTCTAGTAAGCAACAAGTAGTTACCATGTTCCTAAAATCATAAGAAAACTATACTCTTACCTCTGGATAGTTCTGCCCAAAGGACTCTGCAACAAAGCAAAGAAAGGGAGTTGATGGAACATGAGCCATATACCAAGGATCACACAAGTCATGAACAATGGCAGGGGAGGACTGACACCCTTTTAGGGGCTCCATGAGGTTGCACCTATTTTGCTATCATACTAAGATGTCTTTTCATTATCTCATAAGAATACAGATGAGTTTTCCTGAGGCTATATGACCTGTGATATTGCAACAGAGGGAATGCAGAAGCAGATGTGGGAATCCATGGCAACTTCTATTTAGGCACACCCTAAAGAGACCCAAAAACTTTGAGAACTGTTAACATGTCCATATCTAGTAATAGTCTTTCCTGGGCGGCACCAGTGGCTCAGTGAGTAGGGTGCCAGCCCCACACACCGAGGGTGGCGGCCCCGGCCAAACTACAACAAAAAAATAGCCGGGCATTGTAGTGGGTGCCTGTTGTCCTAGCTGCTTGGGAAGCTGAGGCAAGAGAATCGCCTAGGCCCAGGAGTTGGAGGTTGCTGTGAGCTATGACGGCATAGCGCTCTACCGAGGGCAACAGAATAAGACTGTCTCTAAAAAAATAGTCTTTCCCTACCATACCCTTTAAGCATTTCACAGTTTATTTCCATATTTATTAAAATAAAAAGCAGGGAAAGGCAAGAATCAAAGCAAACTAGTCAAATTATCTTAAGTCTCAAACCTCTGAAAGTCCTCAGAGTCCCAAAGTCTCTGAAACCTTTATAACAAAGGCAATCACTCTCCTTCCTAATAGCAGCATTTAGGTGTAACATAATCTGGTGGTCAATAAAACACAAAATTCTCTATATTCACTGCTAACAATCCTATTCTTGGATGGCGAAAAACATTCAACAGCCATTTCTAATAAAAGAAATAGAAGACTTCTTTTTTTTTTTTTTTTTTTGAGACAGAGCCTCAAGCTGTCCCCCTGGGT